CCGCCTCTATACAAAACCATGCTTCCTATCAAGAGCTAAAACTTCACTTTTGCTTCCATTCACTTATGTTAAAAGGGAGTCCAGTTATATTTCATCCTAATCAACATTTACATTCGAAAGGTTTCCATATATTTAAATAGGACAGGAAGTGAAAGTAAATTGGTTAGGAAGACATAAATGCAAGAATTTAGATTTTGAATTAGAAAATAATGAAATGGAGTAGATAGGCCAGAGTAGAATCTTTTTAGTAGCATTATTCAGGAATTAGTTTTAAAAAAGAATAAGAAACTATAAGTGGTAGAATACAAGCAAAATAAGAAATAAGCAAAAGAACAATCATAAAGTATGTTAAAAAAAAACTCAATTTTTATTATTTTTTTAAAAAAAGACATTGAGATTATGGTGTAGTTGTAGAGATATTTAAATCTCAAATTTAAATGTTTCTCGAAGACAGAGAGGCAGATAATAAAAGAAAGGCAGAAAAGTAAAAATCAACTTGAGAAGAAACTAAGTTTCAGAGAAAGCTAGAAAAGACAATCTTTTCAAGTTCTTAATCTATTAAAGTAATACCACTGTAATTAGCTAATTATTAATAATAGGAAAAAAGCAAAGGAAAGGCCAGACATTACAGACATGTTCCCTGCAAAATACTGGGGGCAGAGGAATGGACAAAGGGAAATAGACACATGCCCTAAGGAAGGTACCTGACTGTCAATCACACTTGGGGACAGATATGGTTGGCCAGAATGGGCATGGCCACTGCAAGCCCATGAAGATTTGGGATGCATAATGCCCTGAACAAAGAAGCTTGCTCTCTTGTGCTCTTATGCTCGTGGTTCCTCTTGGCACACCCGGTTCATGGCTTATGCTTGGCTTCCTGGCGTTCGCCCACATTCAGTGGGTTAATGGACTGCAATGAGCCTGATGCTATACTGGACCCAGCTCCACCATGGGAAGGAAACTCTGAATACTGACTTTGCTCCTAGCTTTACTGAAACCCCAGCTACACTTCTTCTATGACTAAGTGAAATGGGACTTTAGACAAAATGATTTAATTCTACACAAATAATAACAAGTTGAAAAAATAACGACAGCTTACATTCAGATAGCAGTTTCAACTGATGAGGGCCTTTTAGAGACAAACAAAAGAATTACTCTTCTACAATGGTCCTGTAAATTAGTTAGGTCAAATATAATCACGGTGTCATAAAAACTAAGCCTCAGACATTTAACAAAAGTCAACATACTTTCATGATAAAACCTCTTAGACAACTAGGAATAGAGTGAAAATTCCTCAGCATGATAAGACACATTTACGAAAAGCCCACTGGTAACATCATACTCGGTGGTAAGGAACTGAAAGCTTTCCCCCAACGACCACAAACAAGACAAGAATCTCTGCTCTCACCACTGCTGTTTAACATTGTATTGCAAGTCTGAGCCAGAGTTATTAGGCAAAAAAAAAAAGGGGGGGGCATCAAATTTGGAAAGAAAGAAAGAGGTAAAACTATGTCTGTAGATGATATGCTTCTCAACATTGAGAAAATCCCAGAGTCCACAAGAAAGCCACTAGAGCTAGTAAATGAATTCAGCAAAGTTTCAGGGTACAGGGTCAACATGCAAAAATCATTTGTTTCTATACCCCAGCAACAAACAATCCTAAAAGGAAATTAAGAAATCCGATTTATAACGGTATCTAAAAGAATTAAATACTTGGGAATAAATCTAGTCAAGGAGGTAGAAGATACCGAAAATTATAAAACATTGCTAAAAAATAATTAAAGACAATAATAGAAAGACATCTCACATTCACAATTGAATTTAAAATGCCAATACTACCCAAAACAATCTGCAGATTCAAACACAATACAGATTCAAGAGGCTATCAAAATTCCAATAACCTCCCCCCCCAGAAATGGAAAAGCATATCCTCACATTCATATGGAATTGCAAGAGACCCTGACTAGCCAAAATAATTTTGAAAAAGAAGAATGAAGTTGGAGGACTCACACTTCCTAAATTTGAAACTTTCTACAAAGCTACCGCAATTAAAACAGTATAGTCCTGGTATAAGAAGAGACCTACAGACCAATGGAATAGAATAAAAAGCCAAGAAATAAACCCTCATACATATGGTTAATTAATTATTGACAAGAGTGCTAAGACCACTCAATGAGGAGAGGACAGTCTTTTCAACAAATGGTGCTGGGAGAACTGGATATCCACCTGCAAAAGAATGACGTTGGACCCTCAGCTTACACCATATACCAAAATTGACTCAAAAAGAATCAAAGACCTAAATGTAAAAGCTAAAACTATAAAACTCTTAGAAGACAACTTTGGGGAAAATGTCCATGGCACTGGATTTGGCAATGATTTCATTAATATGACACCAAAAGCATAGACAACAGAAGAAAAAAAACAGCACATAAATTTTTTTTTTTTTTTTTATCCTCACCCGAGGATATTTTTCCATTTTTTGTACAGATAGAGTGGGAGGGAGAGAGAGTGAGAAACATCAACGTGAAGAGACACATCGAGTGGCTGCCACCCGCACGACCAACCAGGGCCGGGGACAAACTGCAACCGAAGTACGTGCCCTTAGTGGGAACCGAACCCGGGTCTCTCCGGACCGCAGGCCGACGCTCTAACCGCTGAGCCAAACCGGCCAGGGCAAACAGCACATAAATTGAACTTTATGAAAATAAAGAACTTTTGTGTATCAAAGAACACTCTCAAAACAGTGAAATAACAACCTAAAGAGATAAAATATTTTCAAATCATAAACCTGACAAGTGATTATTACATAGAATATACAAAGAATCCTTACAATTCAACAATGAATAACCCAATTCAAAAATGGGCAATGGACTTAAATAGACATTTTTCCAAAGAAGTTTTATAAATGGCCAATAAATACTCAATATCATTAACCTTTAGGGAAATGCAAATCAAAACCACAGTGAGATACTACTTCATACCTAATAACATGGCTATAATTTTTAAAAAAGGAAAGTAGCCCTGGCCAGTTTGGCTCAGCGGTTAGAGCGTCATCCTGCGGTCCGGAGAGACCCGGGTTTGGTTCCCGCTAAGGGCACGTACTTCGGTTGCAGTTTGTCCCCGGCCCTGGTTGGTCATGCGGGTGGCGGCCACTCGATGTGTCCCTTCACGTCGATGTTTCTCTCTCTCTCTCCCTTCCTCTCTCTCCCTCCCACTCTATCTGTACAAAAAATGGAAAAAATATCCTCGGGTGAGGATAAAAAAAAAAAAAAAAAAAGGAAAGTAACATGCATTAGTGAGGATATAGAGAAACTGAAACCTCTGCATATTGCTGGTAGGAATGTAAAACGGTACAGCCACTATGGAAAACGGTTTAGTGGCTTCTCAAAAGTTAAACATAGAACTAACAGATGACCCAGCAATTCTATTCGTAGGTATGAATGGAAGAGAATGGAAAGCTGGGACTGGGACAGGTATCTGCACACCAGTGTTCACAGAAGCATTATTCACAATAGCCAAGAGGTGAAGCAACCCAGGTGTCCATCAACAGATAAATGGATAACAAAATGTGCCATATAAAAGAGAATACAATTCAGCCATAAAAAGGGATAAAATTTTGAAATATGCTACAACATAGATGGACCTTGAAAACATTATGCTTAATAAGTCGGACACTGAAGGTCAACTATGATTCCACTTATATGAGGTAATTAGAGTAGGCAAATTCATAGGAAGAAAGCAGAATAGAGGTTACCAGAGGCTGGAAGAAGGAGAAAAGGGGGAATTATTGCTTAACAGGTACAAAGTTTATGTTGAAGATGATGACATAGTTTTGAATATAGACAGGGTGATAGATACCCAAAGCATTGTGAATACAGGGTGGGGCAAAAGTAAGTTTACAGTTGTTTGTATGAAAGTAATATAATAATTAATAAATGACAATGTAAGAATAACTCGTGTTTCATGTACTCACAGCTGTAAACCTACTTTTGCCCCACCCTGTATATTTAATGTTACTGAACTGTACCCTTACCAATAGTTAAAAGGATAAGTATGTTATATTCATTTAAGCACTTTGTTTTTTTATCCTCACCTGAGGACATTCCTGCATTTATCTTCAGATAGAGCGGGAGAGAGAGAGAGAGAGGAAGAGAGAGAGAGAGGAAGAGAGAGAGAGAGAAACATCAACGTGAGAGAGAGACATCAAGTGGTTGCTACCCACACGACCACAACCAGAACCAGGGACAAACTGCAACCAAGGTACATGCCCTTAGCAGGAACCGAACCTGGGGCTCTCTGGTCCGCGGGCCGACATTCTAAACGCTGAGCAAAACCAGCCAGTGCCATTTAAGCACATTTTTTAAAGCGATTTAAAAACAGTCTCAAAAATACCAAGCAATTTGCTCTAAGCCATACCCTCATAAAAAAGGCTAAGCCAACATTCACTTTTAAGTTTTCCATCTCCATGACAACAGAAGATATATAGTACCTTAGTTGCTCAGCATTAAAACAAAATCTAGTTGTTTTGATTCCCTAGACTCTCTCCAGAGGCTCATCTTCTAAGATCAATCAAAAAGAAGAGTAATCTACTTTGTCCTCAATTTGCTATGAAATCTCCGTTACCATCGGATACACTCCAGCTTCTGCCTGTAGCCCAGGACAGTGAGAGAAGAAGGCAGGGCTCCCTGGCCACATACTTGCCACGGGAAGAGAGCAGGCTCTGGAGTCACATCACCAGTTCACATCCTGGCTCCACTATTAACTGTGACCTTAGGCAGGTAATTTAACCTCGATGGTCCAGTTTCCTAGTCTGTGAGATGTGAATTAAGTCGTTACCGCATAAAGTTGTTAAATCAAACATTCAAAGCACTTAGAACAGATCTTGGCACATGGTAAAAAAAAAAAAAAGGTTTCTATCTCTTTCTCCTCCTTGCCCCTTCCTCCTCTTTCTTTTTCTTCTTCAACATCAACATTATTGTCATTGAGACTCTGCAAATTACCTGTGAAACTGTCATCTGCATGTTACTTTGCCCACTGCAAAGCCAGACATCTCCAAATAAGACATCATGAACTCTCAGGGTTAAGTTCATTCTCCCCAAAGTCTGCTGTGCCATCACTTCATAAGGTCCACCAGGCTTCAAAGGATCCAGTACCACCATCCATCTATTAGAGTGTGCTGAAATAATAACAAGGCTCCAAGGAATTAATCAACCAATGAATTGAAAAGAAATTAAAGCCCAATCCTGTCATGCATCATACTCATTTGTGGCCATTCCCAGCTTCAGTGATCAACTGAATTCAAAGCTATGAAAATTGGCCAAATTTCAAACAAGCAAATAGAAATAACAACAGCAGTGACATTTCTATCCTTAATCTGTGCCAATTCCTCCTTACTTTTAATTGAAGTGTTTACAGGAGAAATAAAAAACAGAAATAAGTTAAAATTAAAGGGAGTTTAATAAAAACAAAATAGAAATTCTTACTATATTATCCAGCTGTCAATATTAACATAAACATAATCTAATAAATTTACACAGTGCTCCAAATGTGAACGCAGGTTAGAGAAAATCACTTGTAATCGGAAACTTCCCCTTGTCTGATGGTATCATCTTTGTCATCAATCCCCCCACTTCCTCCCCACATTGCTACCAAGGATTAATACTAGCAGTAGTTCTGGGTTCTCCTGTCAACAGTTAAACAGGTGAGTGGAGAGTGTCACATAAAGAAGTAGTGAGAGGCATATAAATTAGTCTCTCTGTAAAGAAGAAATTTAGACTTGCCCAATTAATTATTTCCACAGAGTTATTTACCAGACTTGAGGTTTTCAGACTCAATTAAGGAGATGAAAAGCTACCCAAGGCCCTATTTCAGAAATTCATAGCATTTTCCTTAGGAACCACCTCCCTACCACCTTCTACCTCTCACCCATTCACACCACCACCCCTGCAAACATCACACTCAGAAACTTAAGGAAAATATCTTCAAAATGGTAAAATTATGCCTAGGAGAACCAAACAACATGAACAAAGTTGAAAAAGTGAGAGTGCGAAAACAGATAAAATAGAGAAATAATCATTTAAAAAATAAATAGCCTTGGTGTAGTGCAGAATAGGAACTGATTTATAATTTGTGCCCATCAGATCAATGTAATTTCAAAGGGAAAGAATGGAACAACTGGAAGTGAAGTATCCCAAAGTTATTATACCAGCCTACAAAAAGTAATAATTATAAAAAATACTACCAAAGACTGCTAGGAGCTAAACAGTGTGCTAAGTTCTTTCTAATCAGCTCTTTCTAAGAGCTAAGCAGTAGCATGAGAAGCCCAGATGCAGGATGGGAGATTAGTAAAAGCTCAAACCATAAAGGATTGCTCAGTCTTAGGGAGAATGTCCAAAACCCCCCAGGCATCAGTGAAACAGTACCTGTCTGTTCCTCTAAAAGCACAACTGACTCAGTTGCTCCTCCCAGCCCTAAGAGGTCGAATAAGCCCAGGACCAAATGTCCACTACTGTTTTTATACCCCCGATAGCCACATATCAACATATTAAATGTATGGTTCACCTAAAGCAGAACAATCACTGTTTTGGAAACAGTGGGCAGCCGGTACAGACTGTGTCACACAGGTGCGTATGCTCCATATGGCTCACACTTCTGAGCAGGCAGACACTCCAATCTGTCCCGACTGCAGTCTTGCCAAGGTCTTTCCAGGCTTCTCGCACTGACACATCTTACCGGAGCTCTGTCCTTCTGTCACCAACATTACTCATTTGTAACGAAAAGGGCAACCCCCGGAAAACTGAGGGCAGGACTATTTTTTAGCCTTTTAAGACTACACAATCCGTTCCTCATCACTGCTGTTAACTTGATATTTACACTTCACCTCAGTTGAGACCATATGGCTAGTGAAGAAAATGCCTTCACCAGAGTTTCTGAAAGTTTTGCAGCCCAGCAATAAAAAGACAAATAAGGGAAGAGGGATATTTGGGCAAAACATGACAATACCATTCCATCACAGCCAAAGGATGGGCTCCCTCTGCAGGAGCGAAGAGAACTACAAATCAAGGCCCGAGTCTTACTCCTAAGAACTGTTCTCAGGAAACCTCTCAGCTCCCTTGAAGACCTTGGAGAATTTCCTTCTGTTCTAGTCCTCAAGTTCTTTTAGTTTCTAGCTTTTTCTCTCTCCCACTTGATAGAAAAACAAACTCTGATAGAGTAATGAGTGTTAAGTAAGTTCACTGCCAGGCAAGGCAGGGGAAATCCGATCTACTGCAGAGAGGTTACTAATGGTCGCAGTAACTCAGAAACAATTCATTTAAAACACTGAGGATTTACTCCCTGTAAGGATATACAAAGAGCAGCCACTCTGAAGACTGTTTCTCAGATCAAAGGCAAGGGTGGAATTATAAAGCAGAAGCCACCACATTTCACAAGGAGAATTGATTAGTCCTTGGCTTGTCAGTTTAGGCCTAGTTAAAGTGGAGCTCATCACAGGGTGAATGAAGTCCAGTTATAGTTTTCAGAAACTGTGTTAACCCACCAAGTCCAATAGGTTGAATCCAATTAATAAAACTGAGGTCCAGAGCACAAAGAGTAGAAGTTCACCATTTAACTGGCTTCCTGCTAACCCTGGTGGGCTTTCTGAGCAACAGTTGCTCTGGTTCCTTCTTCAGGGCCCTAAACACTTGCTATCTTGTAATCTCTTTCCCAATCCAGGCCCAGGTTTCTGTAGATTTTCATCATATTTGAATCTCTGCTTCCTCCCAGCTTTCTTCTTCCATCTAGAAAGATACATTTCCTTCATAACACAGCTACTTAGAGTGTGTCAGGCAATCCATCATGGAAATGACAAATAAACCCCTGCCCTGGGTGACATTGACCAGAAAGCTTTGCAAACTGAGGGGGATCTTGTGGGGTTTTTTGTTTTCTTTATTATTTGGAGAGAGGAAGGGAGAGGGAGAGAGAGACAGAAACATCGATGAGAGAGAACATTGGTTGGTGGCCTCCTGCATGCCCCCCACTGGGGATTGGGCCACAACCTGGGCATGTGCCCTGGCCAGGAATCAAACTGGTGACCTCTTGGTGCCTGGGTCAACGCTCAACCACTGAGCCACACCGGCCGGGTGGGCTTTGTGTTTTCATGTTTAATAGTTAGCATATCTGGTGACCTATTTAATGTTCCTCTTCTCTTCACATTCCAGCCAAAGACATAGATAAAGAGCACTCTATCTCCATTCCCTCTCCAGCTCCCTGACCAACCCCTATCTAAAAATGGGAAGAATAAACAATTAAAGGGAAAAAATTATAATAATTTGTCCAGAGACACGATTAGTCATAAAGTGCTTTCTTTTTGCTTTTTGCTTTCACGTCAGATGTTAATTATTTTTTCAGGTTGTTGTGCCAAATCTCAGATGCCAAGAACAGAAAAAAGAAAATTATCCACAACCTTTCCCTTCCCACAAGGAAAAACCTAGAGCTGGAAGAAAACACCCTATTCACTTCTTCCCACACAGAACCCTGGCACTTCACCAGCTGCAGTTCAGTGATTTGTGGAAGTGACTTGGAGGGAAAGAAAGCTTTACAGGCCCAGCCGGTGTGGCTCAGTGGTTGAGCGTCGACCCAGGCACCAAGAGGTCGCCAGTTCGATTCCTGATCAGGGCACATGCCCAGGTTGTGGGCCAAATCCCCAGTGGGGGGCATGCAGGAGGTGGTCAATTGATGTTCTCTCTCATCGATGTTTCTATCTCGCTCTCCCTCTCCTTTTAAAATAAATAAATTTAAAAAATAAATAAAAAGAAAGCTTTATAGGCCAAACTGTCTCTTTTCAACCACATCTATTCTGTATAAAGTTCATCTCCACCACCACCAAATGTAAATGGCTAAAAAAAAAAACTTAAGTACTTATCTTTCAATAAAACTGTTTATGTAAGTTACTTAAATGGTAGCAGGCAATGGCAAACACAGCCTAAGATGAACCCCAATAAGTCACACTCTTGTATAATCCTCTCCTTGGTAAGTGTAGTCGGATTCTGTGACTTGCTCCCAACCAACAGAAAATAGCCAAGATGATCAAATGTCATTCTCATGATTAGGTTACATTACATGGAAAAGATAAAGGGGTTTTGCAGATGTGATTTAAGTCCCTAATCAGTTGACTCTAATAAAAAGGGAGATTATCCTAGATGGGCCTGACCTAATAAGGTGAGCCCTTTAAGAGTTTCTAGAGGTCAGAGCATGGAGGCAGCCAAGATGCAGCCATGAATCCTACAGGCACAAGGGAATGAATCTGCCAGCAGACTGTGGGAGCTTGGAAGTGGATCATTCTGCAGTTGAGCCTCTGGATAAACAACCAGCCCGGATGATGTCTGGATTAGCTTTGAACCCGAGAAGAGCACCCAGCTAAACAGCAGCCAGGCTTCAGATCTACAGAAATTGTGAGACAGCAAAAGTGTATCATTTTAAGCCCTGAAGTTTGTGGTAATTCATTATGTACCATAGAAAACTAGTATATATATGCTAATACTGCAACCAGGAACTTTTTAGTCTCTAAGTCAGTGAAAATATATCTGTTTACCTCAATCATGATGACAAATTCAGAAAGACACACATTTTTATCATCCACATATGCATCCCATGTGTGTCAGAGAGAGAGGATATATGCTATTCTCCCCAATTTTATTCCTGTGTCTGAATCATCATGCATCATTTGACAACATGGTTTGAACAGGCTCAGTACCTGACCATATTCCCAATCATCCATCAGGTCTTGATTTTCCCAATACTTAATGTCAGTCTGCTGGACAAAAACCTTTATGTTAAATTCCACTTTGTTGTGGGCACCTAGGGGATTACAGGTAATAAGTTAAATATTAACAGAGATAGACAGAGTGGTGAACTGAGGCAGTCTAGCTGAAAAATCCCAGAGCCCTCATTGATATTTAAATAGAAGCTGACCCTTAAATATACCCTGTAGGATCTCCTTTGAGAAACCTTTTCTGCCCTGTGGAATTTCCTACATTTCTACCTTCTTTATTCCAAATAACCCTTTGTTCATTTTGCTTAATGAGCAGGACAGAGCAAGATGCCTATGAAGCAGGCTTGTAGATCTACACAAACTGAAATGCCTTTGCTCTCTACCAAGCAGATGTGGAAAGCCTAACAAATAGATATACACCCCCCTTCCCCATCATCTTTATCTCTTTTTAGATAGAGGTTCCTTTGTAAGGCTGCTAATTCTCACCTTCTTGACCATACTCACAGCAACTACCTTGGGTCAAGCCTTCACCGTCTATTGCCTGAATATCATTATAGCCTGCTAACTTCCAGTCTGATCGATCTCCAATCAATATTCCACAGTGCTGCCAGAGTAATCTTTCTAAATTACAAATCTGATTGTGTTATATTGTGCTTAAAATCTATCCATCCGAAATAGAGTACAGTACCCACTCCTTGACCATGACAAACAAGCCTCCCTACATTTCCGTCCTTGTCTCCTGTCACCCACCACCAGTCACATATCCCAGTGTTCCAGACAAACCTACCTACTTGCCATTTCTCCAATGACCCAAGCTCACTAACGCCTCCATGCCTTTGCCAGGCTATTTCCTCCACCTGGTTTGCCTTACTCATCTTTCAAGATAAATCTTAGACTAAGTTAATTATCCGTACTAAGCACTCCCATAGTACCCTGTACTTCCCCATTGTGGCACTTACCACACTTTATAGTAATTGCTATTATTCTTCTGTCTGCTTGCCTAACGTCAGAGGAGAGACCACATCTGTTTTGCTCATCACGGCATCACCAGTACCCAACACAGTATCTGGCACATAGTAGTCACTCAATAAATATTTAAGCGATTGACTGAAATAATAATAACAATAGCTAACATTTATTCAGTACTTACTGTGTGCCAGGTACTGTTCTAAGTACTTTATATGTGTTAATTCACTTAAAACCCACACAATCCCAAATACTATTATTGTCTCACTTTACACATAAATAAATTGTGACGCATATTAAATAACATGCCCAAGGTTATAGAGCCAGTAAGAGACAGAGCCAGGACCTGAATCCAGACAGCAAATTCCAGAGCCTCAGTTCTTAACCACTCCTCCATACTGCCTCCCCTTTATATATGATTCAGTTCAAATGCCACCTTCTATGTAAACCTTTCCTTACCATCCAATATGAGTAGATGTTTCTCTTTTGTATCCTATGACATTCCATATATACCTTCCTCAGCAGTTATCACACTGTACTTTATAACTTGGTGTCTATTCCCATTATTCCATGAGCTCCATGAGCTCCTCGAAGACAGGCACTTTGACGTAGTCTTAGTTTTCTTTGTATCCTCAGTGCCTAGCACATGGTAAATACTCAAATAACTGTTAATGGATGGATGGATGAATAACCAGAGCTGGAGAGTAAGTTTCCATTTTTCAGATAATCCAGCAGATGGCAGAAGAAGACAAAAGCTAAACAGAAAATGGGGGCTGCCTTACCTTTCACTTGAGTCACTTTCTTCATGATGGTTTCCTGATCTTGACAAAGAGTCACTGTCACTGTGGCTCCTGATATGCCATAGCCCCAAATCACTGCCCCTGCAGGCTCTTTCTGTAGCACCATGTGATCATCAATGTATGAAGCAAATCGAAAACCAACATCTAAAAATTTTAGCAAACAGAAGAGCATCACCGGGAAGATTCATCACTGATTAAATCTAGTTAAAGAGCAAGGAACACACAGACTTTATACAAGAGACTTTGAATATACTCAGTACTTTTTATCTTCTAAAACTAGATCTTATTCCTTCTAAGTAGGTAAGCAACATAATAAGAACAGTTTCCAACAACATGCATCACAGTGCAAGACCAATAAGGAAAACTCCAAGCAACCAATGTGCTACAGACCTCTTCCCCTTCAGAGCCCTTGATCTGCTTTTGCTCTCGGGCTTAGTCCTAATGCTTGTCTCTCTCCTCCCAAATCACTAAAATGCTCCTTTTATGCACCCTACAGATGGTGTTTATGAGAAAAATAAACCACTTCCTTCCCCTACTTTCCATTACCACGCCCACTCCTGAGTAGCTGGGAATTAAGAATCCTGCCTCTCTCCAACACAGCCCTTGCTAATCTTTTCCCCTCCTTCCACCCTACCAGGGTGAATTTCCCTCAAATAATTCCCCTTATTGTGGTTTTGTGACAACCCACTGAAATTCTAAATAAGAATTTATGAATATCTGTGACAAATCTACTTCCTTCTAAGGTAAATTCAGATAAATTAAGATGCAAAAAATTAGCTCAGTGAGAGTTAGAAGGTCAAAATGTCTGAACAAAGGTCTTCTGTCATCATTTTGCCCATTTCACAAGCTAAATTATGCACAAAGAACAAGAGGAAGAGCACTCGAAACTGTGGATTCTATTCTAGGGTCAGTAACAAGACTGAACAAGAACTCACTCTAACAAGATTATTCCTATTTTTAACATCCAGCCTATATGAAACTATTTTATTAATAACGAGCATCTATCCAAATTATCTCAGTAAGTTCCTCATCAAAACTTAAAGGGAAAAAAAACAACTTAAGTTACATCTTTGTCTGAGCAAAACAAATAAAAAATCCCTAGAAGAAAATAATAAACACAATTAAGATTTTTAAAAAGGGTTTTAAACAAAAAATGATAGGCAGGAAAGAGAACCAGACCTAACAAGCCTGACATTTTCCTTCCTAGAAGCTACAAATGATGATGGCCCCTTAGGCTATACTTTAAGGAGTAGCACAGCTAATGGGGCCTCCTACACAGACTCAGTGTCCTATTTGTCCTGCACTTCAAATAACAGCCCCAGTCCCGAAACACCCTCAGCTCTCTCTTAGGAGTTAGTTCCATCATGAAACCTACATGACAATCAAAATTCATACAGAAGGCCCACTGGGCTGGAACTGCATGGCTGCCTGGAGCAAAACACTCTAAGAGACTGTTACACTAGGGGGAATTGCATAAGCACGTTGGCAGCCTGCTGGAGAAAAGGGGAGAAGCATGTGTGTGGGAGGGCCTTGTCTTGGGTAGGTGCTTCTTATGGAACAAAACTGAAAACTAAAGGTCTAAGAGCTAAGCAGAGAGAGGGTGGGGGTGAGGGAGTGGAGTGAAGAAATCTGGCTGCCACTAGCATAGGAGCCTGTGCAAATGGAGGGCTCTAGATGTATGCAGCCACCATCTGAGGCTGAAGGAAACACCTTTCCAAATCAGTTCATTTTCTCCAACACACATTTACTGAGCCTCTTTGTGCATGGCTCTATTCTGAGTTAAAGTTTAATTTTGGAGGTAGAAAAGATCTTTCACACCCAGGGGTATAATCATGTTATGTACTGATTGATAGACTGAGACCCTAGTAGATTATGTAATTTGAAAAAATAGTTTGCATATTAATTCATTAACTCAACAAATATTTATTGATGCCTATGTGCCAGGCACCATTTTAAGCACTGAGGATATAACAGTGAAAGAAAGAAAGCAAAAAACAGGCAAAACCCTTGCCAGCAGGATGCTTACATTCTACTGATGTACTTACTTGCTGTAGTAGGCACTGTGCTGAACACACTGCAGATATTAAGTTTCTTTGACCTCAAATCACATAGGCAGTTTATGGACTAGAAACCATGCCACTTGATTCCAATGTGACTGCAGCTTCCACTCAGCCACCGTTGGAAACTATGGTAAACCAAAGGTCATATTTCCTGTCCTTATAAAGCTTACATTCCAAACTGAGTAAAGAGTGGAACACTTCAAAGGATAGAGCAATGGACAAAACAGGAGACTGAAAAAGGAGGCAGGACTGGTAAGTTTTCGTCAAACACAAGACTCTTCAGCTTAAGCTTTTAAATTTTTTTTCTCTTTTGGTCTTCAATGTTTCCTTCATTTGGGTATTGGAGTAGGAAAACAGGAGTTAGTGTTCTGGGGAAGAGATCATCATTAAAAGCAGACTGAGAAAATTAGGACAGTGGCTTCCTCTGGTGAGGAACTGGTGGGTGTATTGGGGAGGAACACCCACGGAATCTCAAAAAAACTGGCAATGTTCTAGACCTTAACTTGGGCAGGGCACCCAAGGATGTTCATTTGATTGTTTCATGGTTACATATATTTTTGTACCTCTCAAATATTACATGATAAACATGGACACGGGGAAATGATCTGAAGAACAGGATGTGCAACCAAATAAAGAAGGAAAATTTCAAGCATTAATCAATGTAAAATAGTACTGAAGTTAACAGCCTTTAACAGAGAAAACCAACAGAATAATGGCTTTACTCTCCTCTTTATCTTCTTCCCACATCATATGCTAGATTCATAGGTCATTGTGTAAGGATGAGAGAGAAAAAGATTAGTTTACACTTTGGTTAAACCCAGAAAAACCACCGATGGGCTGCAGTCTGTCTGAATATGGGTACTTATTGGGTTCTTAAATAGAGCAGCAGTCATTTTTCTGCATTCCAATAGTTCTTCCCCTTTCATTTAACAGGGATCTTAGTAGTCCACTATTTGAGTGTTTGAAGGAAAAATATAGGTCCAGCATTATCACTTGCATTAGCAGACAGATCTTCTGGTTTTTCCATAGTTGTGACCCAGTGTCCAGCCTTGTGTACTCAAATGACAGTGAGTCACCCTCCTCCCCGATGTCACGCATATTATCCCACCACCAATGTCTGTAAATTGAGCCAGAAACCGAAGCTGAGCTTTAAATATTCCGAGCCAGTTGAGGGAGTTGTACTTCTTAGCCCAATCACCACTTAAACTGGTAAAATGTAATTCCTTGCCTGAAGCAAACCCTCCCCCAGGCTACCACTGAGGGGGCAGCACTGAAATGTTTTGCTTGACTCCGGCACCTGTTTCCAAATATTATCTATCTGGCTTCGCCCCTCCCCTGAGAGCTCCCCAGCAGTTAGTTATTCAAAGACCCAGAGGGCCTCCCCACTCGGATAACCTAACTCTCCATCTGCCCTACGCGCTGCATCCTAGTGGCGGTTAAAGGGATGTGGGTGGCAGAAGAGCAGGAGCTCTAATCCAGGGCAACCGGCAGTTCAGGCCTCGGTTGCAGACACCCTTCCCGGACCCTGACAGGTGTTGCGGGAGGGGGTCCTGCGAGCACACCGGATGTCGGGGCCCGCGTAGGCTGACGGGCGGGGGTCCGGCAGAACCGGGCCGCTTCCCTACGGGTCGCACCCAGCCGGGCTGCCTCACCTGCGCTCGTGTGGGCCCGCGGCATTAATGGCAGCAACAACCCCAATACAAACCCCAGCGCCACCATGTTTGCTGAGATCTGTCTCCCGGCTTGGGCCTCCGGACGGGGGCCAAGGCGGAGGCGGGGCCTCGAGGGCGGGGCATGTGGGGGCGGGGCCGGCCTGACCCCACCCTTCCAGGCCGTGGCGTCCGCGAGGCGGCTGCAGCCGCCCGCATAGGCCGTGCCTCTGCCCTTCTCGGCCGCCGTAGTTGAGTAACAAACGGTTCCTCAGCAACGAGCAAAAACAACCGGAACCCTCGGCACCAGCTCTGGGAGAACCAAGAGGTGAGGTGGCTTACCCCCCTTCTTCTACAAAACCGAGACCTCGCCTTTTTCCTTCGCCTCTCGTATTCCCTCGGGGTACCCGCCACGTTCCGGGAACCCGGGGGCAGATCGGGAGCCCAGGCAGCGGTTGTGAAGTCTCAGGTCCTCGACGTCCCGTCCCGCCGACCGCCCTGCGCCCCTCAGATCGGCTCAAGGTCTCACCGGTCCCTTTCACAACCCTAAAAAGATTCAATACCTCATCGCCTGTTCCCTCGAAAAGGGGGGGAAAAAACCACCTCCACAGGTTGGGCCCCACGGAACCGTCCGCCCCCCCACCGCGACCCCTACCCCAGCTTCCGGCCTTTGAGGCGCTGATGTCACAGCGGGCCGGGGCCCTGGGTGTTGTCTGCGAGCTCCGCAGCCCCACGAGCCCCTAATCTAGCCCTTGTGACCCCAGACTGGAAGCAAAGGCCTGGGCACAAAACCAGAACATAGAAGAACCCCCAAACTCTGGAGGCAGGTACTGCGAAGCCAGGACCGCCCCGCTGCCCCGTCCAGACGAGAGGGGTGTTGCCAGCCCCGCTTCCCGGGGCGAAACTCGTCTATTGACAAGTTAGGGTGATTTCCACCACCAGGCCCAGTTCCGGTTCTTTCTTGAATCCTGAACAGGGTCTTCGCCGCCACCGACGGTGACGTCTTAACCGTTCTCCCCCAGTTTCTGTGAGGGAGCAGGAAGTACTCCCACCTTTTAAGTAGAAAGGAAAAGTACCGTTGTAGTGAGAAACCCGTGGTTTTGGGAATGAAAAGAAGGACTTGACCCCGGGGCCAGAGCTGCCCTGGGCCCGTTCTGACGAGCGGGGGAGAGTTCCGAACCTGGAACCCGCGGAGGGCTCGGGTGTGTCGGGGGCGCTGGCGGCCAGGGAGCCGGGCCCTCGGAAATGGCTGGTGGCGGAGCTGCGATCGGAGAAGCGAGACCCGACCAGTGTTAGACGGTACCCTTTACTGACCCTGCAGGTACAGGAGGCAGTTCCTTCCGAGGAGATGTCGGTTCCGTTCTCCAACACCCACTACCGGATCCCACAAGGATTTGGGAATCTTCTCGAAGGGCTGACGTGTGAGATTCTGAGGGAGCAACCGGACAATATACCATCTTTTGCAGCAGCGTATTTTGAGAATCTTCTAGAGAAAAGAGAGAGTAAGCTTTCTCAAACGAGGTTTTGTTGTTTGGTTTTTAAATAAGAGACTAAGCACTTGGTTATGGTGAAGCTTGGTTAAGACCATGCCTGTTCCACAGAAAGTCCATGAGGCAGGCAGGCCGCGTCCAATAACGGTTCCTGCTATTTGAAACGGGCGCCGTTTGGGCAGTTCTCGTAAATCACATCGCCTCGCATGATTGGAGACACCAGTTCATTTCCCAGGCCTGCGTGGTTGCGTGTCCCACGCGCACACTGTGGCTGCAGACCCCGAGAGATCGCCCGGTGTAACTCCATTTTCCCGCCACCTGTGCCCGCGCACCCCAGGCAGCTGGCTGTCCTTACCAGGAGGAGTTTGTGGTTTTCTTTACGGTTTGCCCTTTTTACTGGAAAGCATTATAAGTGTTGTAAAAAATAATAATAATAATTCTACACTCCTTAGACTAAATAAATTGGTATTCGCTGAGAAATATAAAATTTTTCTACAATAAAGGCACAGAGGAAAACTGCTTTGAAAAGAGAACCTGCAGCTAGGGAAGGTAATTTATATTCATGTTCTGTACTCTCAAGGTTCCACCCTGCCCAGAGACTAAAATTCAGGCTAACAGGACTCTAGCTGAGAGCCAAAGCAGTTTCTTCACTTCTATAAATAAAATTTCCCTCCAGGCACCTACCTGGCTCAGTGGTTGAGCATGGACCCATGCACCAAGAGGTCGCTGGTTCGATTCCCAGTCAGGACACATGCCTGGATTGTGGGCCAGATCCCCAGTGGGGAGCATGCAAGAGGCAGCCGATCAATGTCTTCTCTCATCGATGTTACTATCTCTCCCTCTCCCTTCCTCTCTCTCTAAAATCAATAAAGGAAAAAAACACTTCCAAATTCCTAGCCTTGAAGGTTCATGACAATCAAGACCCAACCTAATGGTCAAAATGGGAATTATTACAGCTATAAATGTCTATTAAAAACTTATAACTAGAGCAATTGTTTTTAATATAAATTTTTATCATTACTTTTTATTATAGTATTCCAACACAGTGGTAATGGTGCCTAGAAGTAGCCACAAATAAATAAACATTCCAACCCTGGGTGGTTTGGCTCAGCAGTTAGAGCGTCAGCCCTCAGACCGTAGGGTAGTGGGTTCAGTTCCTGTCAAGAGCACATATCTGGGTTGCAGGTTCAATCCCCAGCCCCAGGCAGGGTCCTGCCAGAGACAACCAATCAATGAGTTTCTTTCACATTGATGTTTCTCTCCCTCCCTCCCTTCCACTCTATCTAGAAAAAATCATTGGAAAAATATCCTCTGGTGAGGATTAACAAAGTAAATAAGCAAACATTCCATTTAAATCATTTTAGGAGAAAACCTACCACAAGGCTTGAATTGAAACAACACCCATACACAACTGCATAGCTTTCCACTCCCTTGTCTTCTTTGCTGCACCCTGTCAGAGCTCAAAATCTCTGCCAGTTTCCTGAATGTTGCTGATCTTTTCCATATCCAGTCACTGTAAATATTTGTTGTACAATGTGAAACTTAAGTGCCACTAGAAAGCTATTAAGAGAAATCATTGAGTGTAAGAGGTGAATTATAATGAACATTAATTCAATTTTGTTGTTATAACTTTATTTTCCAAATTCATAAGTAAAATATCTCTAGTCATTTATTTAAATTTAGACCTCAGAAACATCCCATTACAAAAACATTTGAGTCATTGTTTCTGGATCATGATAATTAAAGCAATTGGAGATTCAGAGTAATGGTCTCAGAATACTAACTCTGTAATAAAATATAGGTAAAACTATTTGAAAAAATTTTAAGCATCATATCTATTTTTACTCATATAAACCAAAGCTGAATTATCTAACTGATACAATATTAGAATTTAGTCTCTCTAAAAGGGAAGAATAAAGTTCACTACGCCAGCCTTACCAGCATTCCTCATAGGTACTTACTAGTCTTAATTTTGATTTTTGTGACAGGAAACATATTAGTAAATGAAATAAGTGGTATCTCAAAATCACTAGGGGAAAAGTGGGCTTTTTATTAAATTATATGATAAAGATGCAAAAAGACAAAATTTGATCTATTCCTTTACACCAGGATAAGTTCCAAGTTGATCATAGATTTAAATTTTTTTTTTCAATGAAACCATACAAATACTAGAAGAAAATATGGACAAATTTATAACATAAAAGAGGGGGGAAAACTGCTAAGTTGCTATAATTACTTTAAAAATCCAAGAGCAGTTAGGGAAAGATGGATAAAATTGACAATATTACATGACAAAAAGTGCCATAAGGAAAATAAAACTACAATGACAAACTGAGAAAAAAAATGTTTGCACTTTAAATCACAACTGGTTAATCAACCTAATAAATAAACAGCTTGTAAAAACAGTGAAGAAAAACCCAACAATGCTATATAAAAAAAATTGGCAAGTGATATGAGCCAACAATTCACACAAAAATAAAAGCAAATGACCTTTAACATATTTAAACACACTCAAACTAACCCATAATAATAGAAGCCCATATCAAAACTATGCTGAGGTACCACCACCCACCACCAGCACCAACCCTACTCATCAGATTGGCAAAAAGCCAAAAGTTTGCCAGTTCTAGGCAGGGCTAGAGAGCAGTAAGCACTCATATTGCTGGAGGAGATATAAAATGATACAATCCCAAGGAGGGGAAAATAGCAATATCTACCAAAATGATATATGTACTTAACCTTTGACCCAGAAATTCCACTTCTTCACTTTTAATTGTATTGTTATTTGAGGAAGCAACCCAAATATCCATAATAGCTTTACTGAATAAACTAGAGTACATTCACACTATGGAATAATGTACAGCTGTAAAAAAAAAAAAAAACAGAATGAGGAAGATCTACTATGGAATGATCTTCAAGATACATTAAGTAAAAAAAGTAAGGTGGAAAAAGTATGTTTAGTATGCTACTAATTAACCAAAGGGGTGTTGATATGAATACATAACTGTTCATTTCTATTTTTTAATGGAAGAATAAATATTTTAAAATAATATTTACCTCAGGGAGAAGGAACAGAGTGGAAGGAACAATATAGAAGTTAAATCTCTCTGAATATATCTTGAATTTGAAATCATAATAGTTATAAGATAGAATGAAATTTAAAAATTGTTAAAACAATTTCAAAAATCTAGAAGCAAAGTACAACAGATAAACCTAACTAGTATTGAATGGATAGCATAACTACACAGAGAAATTATTTAAGTGACTTTATAACACAGTAATTTAACTATGCATCCCTGATGGTTATAGCCTAAAAATAAAATGAAGTAAAAAAAAAAAAATACTTAAATTATTTTTAGTAATTATTGTTAATATTATAGTTTAGTTATTATATAATTACTTTTTGTAAATTGTGGGACATAGCAAATAAGTAACTTTCCTAACTGTAATTAGGAATAAGATTTTTAGTGTAAGAAAGATGACTTACAAATATAAATAAAGTTAATAAAATCCTGTAATCCTAAATTTGAATTGAAGAATATCAGTGTGACCTCATGATATATTTTCTCTTGTAAAAAAAGAAGTATATTCTGGCTCTATACATTTTCTTAAAAGTCCTCAAAACAAAGACCAACCCAGTACCATTGAGTACCTAGCCCCTGGACTGTGGACTCTCTCATTGCCCAGGAACCAGGCTTCTTGGAGAACAAGGTAATTTCTTGAACTGGGTAGGAAATACAAAGATGAGCTTGAATATCTTGCCATGCCAAAAAATAAGGAAATTATAAAAGATGACTGGAGTTGTTTCCAAGGACTCAAGAGCATCTGAGCACTCGAATAAGCCCTTACTGGCCAATTTTGTACAATCAGAGCATCAATAAGAATAATAAATGCAATGGATTGAAATTCATTCTACTTGTGAAATATTCATGAGTTCATAATGATTAAAAAACAAGCTCCTTGAGAGGATCCTGAGGAACCAACTGATTATTCTGAAAACTGGTAAATAAAGAGAAAGAACCAAAACTTTAACCTACCTTTCCTGTAAGAATTGTATTTCAGGGTTACCAAATAGTTGATGAGGGAAAGTTTTGTTTTTGTTTTTTAATTGAGCACTCCAGAAATGAAGTAATGATAAAATTAGGACACTGCCATTATGCAACATCTAAAGAAATTAAGCAGTCATAATCAATGGGTCCATAAAAATTATAAAGAGAGACAACCGGGTATTATATATATCCTGACAGAATCACCCTGCATTACCTATATTCTTGCCAACAACCATCAGCTTGAATCAGATGGAAATGTAGCTCTAACTAGCAATCTATAGGAAATTCAAAGGCAGAAGAACTTGTTAAAAATCATCATGGGAATGGAATAAAAAAAATATCTAGTCCGGCTGGTGTGGCTCAGTGGTTGAGCATCGACCCATGCATCAAAAGAGGTTGCAGGTTCGATTCCCGGTCAGGACACAGGCCCACATTGTGGGTCAGATCCCCAGTGGGGAGCATGCAGGAGGTGGCCAACCGATGTTCTCTCTCATTGATGTTTCTCTCTCTCCCTCTCTCTCTAAAATCAATAAAAGGAAAAAAAATGTTTTAAATCTAAACTATGGGGAAAATAATGACCCGATTACATTGATAAATAAATTGCAAGGAAAAAATATGGGGTGGGATGTAGGGAGTTCTAAATGAAAAATATTTAAAAGACACAATAAAAAGTTGTGTGTGCCCATTGTTTAGGTCCTGATTTGAACAAACCAACAGTAAAATACATAAAAATATTAGATGAAGAAATTTGGGTAGTTGACATTGAGAAATTATTGTTAGTATTTTTAGGTATGATAATGGTATTGTGTCTTTATACCTTAGGGATACATACTGAAATAAATATTTGTAGACAAGGTAATATGATGCCTAAGACTGGCTTGAAAATAATAGAAGAAAAGTTAGGAAAGTGAGTGAAGTTTCAGATAAAGTAAGATAAATCATGTTTATGATTGTTGAATCTGAGTAATGTGCACCTAGTAATTTGTTACATTATTCTCTACTTTCTAAGTTTGAAATTCTTCAAAATTAGAAGTTAAAGAAAAATTTTGTTTAAATATAAATACTTCTTCCTATATATGTCAACTGACTATATAATATGGATCAATTTTTAAAAATGCTCCCATCCTTCACTTTTCCAAACTTTCTTAATAGTTAGCATTTATTTTTATACATTTTCCTGTGTTTACTAATCCATGCTTATAAGTTTCTATACTTATATTTAAGTATTGACATTTTTTCTCTCTTTCCCACTTTGTTATAAATTTTATGAAGGCAGCACTTAGTTTTTTACTGCCTTTCTAAATATACTCAATGGCTCATCTAATGTTTAATTCATCAGCATATATTTGATCACGGGTTATATCTGCAGTGCTAGGCTATGTATAATAGCATTAAGATTTTCAATGGGCAGTAATGAACCTGTGAGTTGAAGAAAATTTGTTTTGTGTTATTGTTCTAGATTTACTTCAATGAACTCAAGTCTAAAATTATTATATTTTTATTTAGAAACCAACTTTGATCCAGCAGAATGGGGGTCTAAGGTAGATGACCGCTTCTACAACAACCATGCATTCAAGGTATGGTCCTGTGAAACTAATGGATTTGGTTATTTCTGTTCCCTATCTCCAAAACAGAGATTATTGAGGCCTCCTCCAAATCATGTAAATTGTAAGAGGCATCACAAATATCTTATTAAACCTTCTTAATTGTAATGTTCTTTCTGATGAGAAATTCTTTTCTAAAGTATCTGAATCACAGATACATAGTTTAAATTTAAAGATGATCAACAGGAAGAATTTAATTGAAAGTTATAGAATAATTAGTCTCATTTATTCTTTTATTGGGCATTACAATGCTTAGCAGTAGCAGATAATATTTGTTGAGTTAATGAATGATATTTCATAAAATAAAACTATTCATTCAATTATTTTGTTATCATTGACATTTTACAAAAGACTGAGTAGAATTAAAGATGGTAATGGTAGATAGAGTTTTCTCTATAAAGCTTATCTGTTCAGAGACTGAAACTATCTTCTCTTTAGTAGCATTCTTAGAACCAGTCATTCTCAACCAAGGTTTCTCAAAATAATTGAGCCCTAAGTGGAAGGTACCCATTGCATGTGAGCAATTAATGTCTCTCCTTTGTATCTGAAATGTTTCTAGTTATGAATCATTTGGGGAGAATTGAAACAATAATTACTCAAAATATTCTGTGTTTTGTGGTCCAGATAAGGAATACTGGTTGAGAAAGATTGTGTGGAATGCAGCATCATTGGCATCAACTGGGAGGTTGGTGGAAATTCAGTCTCAGACCCTACCTCTGTAGAAATTGTAGAAATTCAGGTCTACAGATCAGAAGTTTAATTTTAACAAGATCCCCAAAGTAAAATGTAAGTTCATTAAAGTCTGCAAAAGCACTACTCTAGACAACTGTGATAAAATATTAGCCATAAAGCACTTGCAGATATTTGAATGAAAAGGAATTAACAAAGTTCAAGTTTTGATGGTATTCCACAGTACATTTGGGGAATTTCCTGGGGAAATATCTGTCACTTATTCCATGAGTTCAGAAGTGAATTTCCATCCATTTGTGCCTGCCAGATAAGAGGGTGTTCTGTTTATTTCCACTTAACTAGATTCTATGTGTTCATGCTTTATTGAAATCAAAGGAAAATGTTGAAGATTTTAAAATATTTGTGTCATATCATCTGTTTCTTTCTTCTCTTTTGAATTGTAAAGACTTTATTTGATTAGCTTATATGTCCTGTCTGTGTTAATGGATTAAGGAAGCTCTTCTCATAAATTGTGAATTAGCAATATCTCTATTTTGGAAAAAGATTTCAGTAACCATGTCAAAACAGGCAGAGCTGGTTTCTCTTTTTCTATTTAAATCACTCTCCACAACAAAACTTACTTTTTTTAAAAATATGTTTTTATGGATTTAAGAGAGAGAGGAAGGGAGAGGGAGGGAGTGACTGAGAGAGGGAGGGGGAAGGAAGGGGGAGGGAGAGAGAGAGAAAGAAACATTGATGTGAGAGAGATACATCGATCAGTCACTTCCTGCATGAACCTTGACTTGAGACTCAGTTGGCAATCTGGGCATGTGCCCTGACGAGGAATTGAACTGGTGATATTTCGGTGCATGAAACTGCACTCAACCAACTGAGCCACACCGACCGGGGTTGACTTAGTTTTTAACCTACAAATTTCATTAAAAAGTCACCTTGATTTCACACTATGCAACACAATGACATTTATTTTGTTTCTATTATAGAAACTATTGGCAGCTCTTCTTTATACTTTGTTCAGGATTCATTACAGCATCTTAACAACTTTGAGTATAAGACAATGGTTTGTTTTTAATATAAAACAATGTCACATACATTCCAAAAGCAAAAAAGCAAACATTTTTTAACCAATTCTTTCATCTTTAATATTTGTTTATGCATATTCCCTTGAGAGTTTTTATTTATTTATTATTTCTTCACCCATTTTTCTTGTTAAAAATCAGTATATAGCCCTGGGCAGTTTGGCTCAGCAGTTAGAGCATCAGCCCAAGGACCAGAGTCCTGGGTTTGATCTCTGCCAAGGGCACGTACCTCAGTTGCAGTTCGTCCTCGGCCCCAGTTGGGGTCATGTGGGTGGCAACCAATCAATGTCTCTCTCTCACATCGATGTTTCTCTCTCTCTCTCCCTCTCCCCTTCCCTCCTGCTCTGTCTGAAGATAAATGTAAAAATATCCTCAGGTGAGGATAAAAAAAAAGATTTTTTTTTAAATCAGTATGTATTTAACTCCCACTTCTTCTCAAACTTAAAGTAATATTTAATTACCTTTAAGCAGTTTGATCCAAGACTACTATTTTGGAAACACTGCCTGTTTGATCCTCTTCCCTCTCTCCAGGAGCAAGAACCACCTGAGAAAGAAAAGTCTCAGACACCTGTGAAAGAGGAGACACCAGTCACAGCCTTAGTAAGTTATATTTTCCATGTACTATTGGAAAGAATATCATTCAATTTAAAATTATAGTCTAAATATTAATCTAGTCTGTTATCTGTGTTGTTAAAATTATGATTTTGCTTTCTAGATAACCAACATCAGTGATAAACGAACTGGTGGATCCTTTTTATAGCCATAACTCTTATAAAGAAAAACTCATTCTTCCCCTTAAAAATAAAATCTTTTTTCCCAAGATTATTAACAGATTGAAAAATCTCCTCAAAAGGAAGAACAGGCAGAACTCACCAGCCTCATTCTTGATCCTTCAGATTCATTTTCCAATTTAGAAACTTTTCATTAATTGATGATGTTACCACCAAACAGTGACAAAGGTTCAGAGGTAACACAAGGAAACTCACAGGGAATTACGTACAACCAAATGAAATGGCTTTACCCAATGTGTCTTACTTCCCTTCCATACATTGCCCTCCACAAGTAAGACTTCCTGCCTGACAGCCTACGCCTAAGTAGTGAAGACCTGGGTGGATACCTATACGAATGTCCGTGGTGTGCTAGAGCCGCTTTCGGCTTTCAGGAGAGGATTGTGTACATCTCTATATAACCCTATGCTCAGTGATGTCACTTTGGTAGCTTGAAATAGAAGGAATATTAAGACCATGACAAATACTATAAATCAGGACTTTTTTTTTTTTTTTCCCAGAGAGCCAGTTTTTAAGCATTTACCAGCATATCACTATGTTTTTCAAAGTCCAGAATCAAGAGAATCAAGCCTAGTGAGAAAAAAGAACTCACTCTTCACAGTTGAAGGCCAAACTTTTGAGTTCCTTTTCATGTCCCAGTTAGTTACCCAGTAACCAACCAACAACACCCAAAGTGGACATCCCCCCAAGGAGCACCTTACTTCCTACCCAGTGGGGCATAACTTTTCCCTATAACCTTTATAAATTATTCCAGAATTATATCAGTACAACAGCCTAACATTGGCACAAGATGCAGTGGAAGATCAGGAAAGAAGAAAGGGAGTATTGTTTTCTTACATCTTTAATAGGTTCCCTTACACAGGTTGTTATGAGTTTGAGGTGAAATCCCATTGATTTCCAACTTCAGAACAACTTATTTGCCCATATTGGGGCATTATCTCAGAGGATTTTATACTATTTTGTTTGCATTTAAAAGTTTAAGAGCTAGCTTTGCCTTATTATTATAATAGAGAGAGAGGGGAGGTAAACAACCCAGAGGTCTGTCAGTAGGAGGCTCAGTGAATAAATCAAAGCTCATCAGTACAATGTAATACAATGGTGTCATGAAAAAAAACAAATGGGCCGAGTTATATACTGAATAATTACATAGATGAAGAGAACCAAGATGTGCTGTTACATGGAAAAACTAATAATAGAACATTGTGAATAGCATGATCTCATTTTTAAAATAAAAAGGCATGTATGTACCCATATGAATACTTTGTCTATTAAATTTTGGAGGAATATATGCACTGAACCCATAATAATAGACAACTCTGAGGAGCAGGATTTGAGAAGGAGGGGAAAACTTTCACTACCAGTGGTGATATTTAAGTTTTTAAATGTGCATGTATCACTTTTATAATTTAAAATATTAAAAGCTATATACCTATTGAATTGAACACTTAAGATCTGTGCATTTCACTATCTGTAAATTATACTTAAATTAAATAAGCAAAAAAATCTAGAATAAAAAGTTAAACCAGTCATAATAAAACTGACATTTTTGGACTAACTAGGTTTCTCTCTGGCACTCCACTTTTTTTTTTTTTATCCTCACCTGAGGACATTTTTCCATTTTTTGTTCAGGTAGAGTGGGAGGGAGAGAGGAACAGAGAGAGAGAGAGAAACATCGATATGAAAGGAACACATCGAGTGGCTGCCACCCACACGACCGACCAGGGCCGGGGACAAACTGCAACCGAGGTACGTGCCCTTAGCGGGAACTGAACCCGGGTCTCTCTGGACCGCAGGCCGGCGCTCCAACCGCTGAGCCAAACCGGCCAGGGCTGGCACTCCACTTTAAATGTGTGCTTTTGGTTAGCTGGCTATTGAGAAATAAGGAAGTTAACACTTTAATTCATTTTATGTAATCATAATTATTTTGAAACAACACATTTGCTATTCCTCTCAACATTTTTATCATGCTCAGAAAACTGTTAAATAGAAGCTATTTTGGAGGAAAAAGTTGGAAATGATGATTTGTTGTAGAGACATATTACAGAATGAAAAAAACAAAATGCCTGCTATTTTGGCATTTACCATTTGGTACATAGACAACGCGACAATACATAAAATTCCCTCAGGAAGCAACAGATCTTGATTGTTACATACCTAAACTGATTAAATTTATCACTATTTTTTATGGCAACAAAATACTGAATGGGATGTTTTTCTCCTTTTCATGAAGGAATCTTCTGAAGAAGATAAGGAAAAAGAGGAGCAAGCTGCTGTCAAAATCCAAGCCATCTTCCGGGGACACTTAGCCAGAGAGGAGGTGAAGAAAATGAAACAAGATGATCTTGAAGGGAAAACAAAGGAAAACAACTGAGGAGACTGGTTTTGCCCCTCCCCCCCAGAAAACATGAAAACATAATTCAGATCCATCAAACATGTTGTGATTGTCGTTTTTACTCTTCGTACGGGAGATTTGATGTAGTGAAATAACATTTGTTGCTGCTGTGAAAATCTGTCATGAGCATTTGTTTAATAAACATGCCATTGAACACATGCTTCTTGAAGATTTCTCTGAGATCATAAGTCATATTTATACTTCTCCCGAGTCTATGTATAGAGACCCTTGGATTTAGAGTTGTAGAGCTGGAGGATCTAACTTTTCAGAGATCTCAGAGGTCATGTGATGTGGTCTAACCATTATTTAATGAATAAATCCTCTCTATCACATCCCTGAAAATGCATTGTCTTTGAGCTCCTATTTCACTCATAGTGATCATTTCACTGCCTTTCAAGCGTAGTCCAGTTAATTTTAGAAAAACTTGAATTATTAGAAAGGTAAGCTGAGTCAAAAATCTGTCTTCTACCCTAATGGCATGCCTGCATTCACTCATTTATTTTAAAATGCATTGAGCAGAATTCATGTGCTGGGGTTTAGTTGTGAATATCTGTCCTTACATTTTTGCAATTGACAGATTTTTATTGTCTTGCTCTCCAGAATGACACAGAATAAGACTAACGCATCATATTTGAAAAAAATGAAAGCTATCATAACATCATAAATACTCTCTTCTCCAGCTAAAACTTTCCACGTTTCTTCACTGTAGAAGTGGTAATACCTTTATCCCAAACTCACAAACTTCAAACCGTGGTACCTAGTTTTCAGAAAGTTCAGTCTCTCCTTTTTCAGGCCTCCCCACTCCTGAATATTCAAGAAACTGCAGGGTTCATATCTTACACCAAAAGATGCAGAGAAAGAAAATGGAGAGAAAGTAGACTCCTACCATATAATGCTGTTGCCTTCTACCCTAATGATGCAGCCTAGGCCAGCAGACCGACAGAGTGTCCTGGCTGCTTCAGATTCCTGTCTGCACTGCCTTGGGTGTCGCAGGCCTTGGTTCCAGCATTACACCCCTCTTTGATCACAGTCACACAGCCATTTCCCAAAGCTTAGTAACATGCTTGGGCGGCTGGGTCTTGAGGAGCTTCTTTTTTTTTTTTTTAATCCTCATCCGAGGACACTTTTCCATTTTTTTTTTGTACAGACAGAGTGGGAGGGAGAGAGAGAGGGAAACATCGATGTGAAAGGGACACATCGAGTGGCTGCCACCCGCACGACCAACCAGGGCCGGGGACAAACCGCAATCGAGGTACATGCCCCTAGCGGGAACCGAACCCGGGTCTCTCCGGACCGCAGGCGGATGCTCCAACCGCTGAGCCAAACCGGCCAGGGCTTGAGGAGCTTCTAAAACCAGCCTAGGTTATACATAACGATTGGGCTCCTGAAAACAAATCTCTGTCTTAAGCTCAGACTTTTTCTTTCTGCAAAGCAATGTTATTTCAGGTGTCCCATAGTCCTTCCCTGTCACTGAGTCCTTATCTGTTGCCACAGCAGATGTTTACCCAAGTGATCTCCACTGAAACACAGATGACATACCAATGGTTTCAAGATTGTGGCATTCTCTAATCTTCACTGACCTCTGGACAGCCTTCCTCTTCCAAGATCTTTCTGGCACTAAAGAGCTGCATGCCAGCCAAACACCAATCTCTAATATCCACTGGACCCCTTCCTCCTATCTTTATTTTTTCAAAAAAAATTTTTGAATATGTTTTTGATTTTTGAGAGAGAGAGAGAGGCATCGACGTGAGAGAGAAACATTGATCGACTGCCTCCTGCATGCTCCCTACTGGGGATACAGCCTGCAACTCAGGCACATGCCCTGACCTAGAATCAAATCGGGGACCTCTCAGTCCATGGGACCACATTCAATCCACTGAGCCATACCACTGGGCCCTTCCTCCCATCTTTAACCCCTCCCTCTCAGGTTTGGAGAGAGGAAAGAAAATCAACTCTCTTCCAGGATTTCAGCTGCTCATTCCCAATTGCATTCAAAGAACCAGCCTCCAACCCCCTTTCTCCTCAAAGCCATCCTGCTGGGGGGATTACCAGTGGGATCTAGAATTACTGTACTGCAAAGACTTAGCTTCCCAGTCCTGAAAAGCAGACCAGAAGAAATAAGATTTTGTTCCCTCTGATGAGTATAAGGGGGATGCGGAGGAGGGGAGATACCAATTAACTTTTACAATAATTCTATTATACATGCAATTAACGCTGCTTTCCAGTGTGTGCTCATGCACGCATGCACGCCCATACACACACACCTAGTAATCTAATGGCAGTGATGTTTTTGGTGAGGGAGGAAAAGGAAGAGGAGAAGGTAGGGAGGAATGAATGTGGTATTACAACAACACATAGGAATAACACTTTATTAGCACTTAATGGTTTTCATCTTATCTCTCTGGCTGCTTTTTCTCAATTTCTTTTGCTGGTAACTAACGCTTCAACTCCCCAACCACTAAATGCTAACGTGGCCCCAGGCTCAGTTCTTGGATCCCCTTTCAAGTTATCACACTTAACCTGTTGATCTCATGCAGTCTCATGGCTTTAAAAGCCATCTACACACTGATCACTCCCAGATGTGTACTGTATACATTGGACCTTTCTCCACTACAACTCCAAACTTGTATATTCAACAGCTTACAACATCCCTATTTGGATGTCTGCAGGCAACTCAAAATTAGCATGTCCAATAACAGGTTATTGGTCCTGATAATAGCAACTGATATTATCCCTCAAATCTGAAATTCCCTCATTTTCCATCTTGGGAAATGGCCATTCTTTTCCTCTATTTGCTCAAGTCCAAAAATGTAGAATTCATCCTCACCTCTCTCTCTCTCACACCTCATTTACAATTTATCAGCAAAACCTCTGGGCTCTATCTACATAATATATCCAGAATCTGACCACTTCTATTATCACTACCCTGGTCCTAGTTCCCATCGTCTCTCTTGAGAATTATTGCAATTACCTCTATATTTGTTGGTCAGTCTTTGTCACATTAATGCTACACAACCCGCCTCAAAGTCAGTGATTTATTTTTCTTGTGGCCTGTGAATCAGAAGCACTTTGGCTGGAGCTAGGATGGACTCCAGGCTTGAGATTAGGTCCAGGTCTGCTCTCAGCTGAGGGTCTGTGGGTTGGCTGGGAAGGTCTGCTCATGCTGCGAGCCCAGAGGTAAACTGCAGTCCCTCCGTTGTATGTGTCCTATTCAGAGCCCACACTGAAAGTGCTACCCAAGCCATGGTGGTCACAGAAGTCCAAGCAGGAAAAACCAGAATAGAAGCTTTTGCTCATAATACTTCTATTGACATTTCAGCCACCAAAGAAAGTCATTTGACTAAGCCCAAAGTCAAGAGGTGAGGAAATACATTGCTCACTATGCAGTCATAGCAAAGACCTCGTATACATAATGCTACTACAGTGTAGTGAAAAATTATGAAGTACCAATAATTCACATGACCACAGTCTGCTCTCTTGGTTGTTACTATTTACACCCTTTTCACATGCAAAATACATTCACTCCTATCCCAAGATCCCTAAAAGGTCCATCAACTCCTTGAAATTCAGAATCTACATTAGGTCCAGATATGGCTGTTCTTGATGCAGAGACCTATAAATTAAAAGACCTATAAATTAAAATGATCTTCTTCTCATACACCCAACATACAACAAATGATTGACGGGGACAATACACTCACTCACACACACACACACACACACACACACACAAAACGATAACTCTCTCATTCATTTCTATTTGGGGAGGGGGGTGATGCTTCATGATCAGGCATTGGTTCTGTACCCTGTGAATAACTCTCCAGTCTATTCTCCATAGCTCTTGGTTCTGCAGTCGAGATTCATTTTTTCCATCACCTTTCTTAGTCATTTGGAAAGGGCTTGGATAATATGCCCTTCTTGGTGGATAAGTGGGTTTCTCAACCTGATTCCTACCTATAGGAATGTGTGGCTCAGTGGATTGGGCATCGTCTCATAGACAGAGAGGTCCCAGTTCTATTCCCAGTCAGGGCACATGCCTGGGTTGCAGGCTCGATCCCCAGTGAGGGGCACGTTGGAGGCAGCCGATTGATGTTTCTCTCTCACATTGATGTTTCCATCTCTCTCCCTTCCCCTCTCTTTAAAAAATCAATAAAAACATATTATAAAAAAAGAAAAGAAAATTGCCTGGGCAGTGTGGCTCAGTGGTTGAGCGACCCATGCACCAAGAGGTCACCAGTTTGATTCCCAGTGAGGGCACATGCCCAGGTTGTGGGCCCAATCCCCAGTAGGGGGCATGCAGGAGGTGGCCAATCAATGTTCTCTCTCATCGATGTTTAAAAAAAAAAAAGAAAATTGAGAGCCCAAATGTCTGTTTGCATCTTGCACATCCTCAGTCTCTTTTAGCTGTTGGTTATGCTTTTGCTCATAGACTTTTCTTAAAAACTTTGAGTTTTCTATGTGTTTGACTGCAGTCAATTCTATGTGCCAAAAGCTGTACCCACAACGTCTCTCTCTCTCTATTTAATTCTATGAAGAAGAGTGCCAAATTGTACTCAATATTTCAATATACTACAGCCTCATAGCTGTCATAAGTAGTCTCCCTGCCTCTGCCTTTTCCCCTTTCAACACAGCAGCCAGAGTGCCCTGTTATAGTTTGTCATATCATGTCACTCTGCTTAAAACTCCCAATAGCTTCTCATCTCACTCAGAGTAAAAGCAAAAGTCTTCATGATGATCTACAAAGTTCCATGCAGATCTTGCCTCCCATTACCTCTCTAACCCCTTTCCCTTAATGTTTTCATTTTTCTCCTTGGTTCTGAACACCATCTAATATATCTTGTTTACTGCCTGTGTCTTCCTACTATAATGTGTGCTCCAAGAGGATAGAGATTTGCTGTATTGTTCACTGCCTGGTGCCTTTTTAGATGTAGCAGGAAAGAATGAATCATTTCTAGTGGCTCACACAAAAGTAGAAGGAGCCCTAACAAACACCTTCTTCTATCAAATTAGCTTTGATGAAGTTATACATCCATTGCTTAAGGAATCATTGAGACCAGGGGGAAATAAAATATTAATGGGTTTATACCTGTCACCATCAGAACTCATCTCTGGAGTAGAGGGTCCGTTCTGTCCAAAAAAACCTGGCTGAAAGTCGAGAAAGTTTGAAGTCCCTTATAGAAAATAGAG